GGTCCGGGGTAACTCGGGCTTGGATTCCCGAAAAAGGAACCCGAGTTATCCCTGACCCGAGTTACCCCTGATGATTCGGGGCTCTTGGACGCCCGATTTATCCGGGGTAACTCGGGTCCGGGGTAACTCGGGTTTGGATTCCCGAAAAACGAACCCGAGTTATCCCTGACCCGAGTTACCCCTGATGATTCGGGGCTCTGACTTTAGCAGACCTCCGCTTAGTGAAAACGGCCTGGGACCGAAACCGACGGACCTGGACCCGCCAAAAGGACGGCCGCGACGCCCTCTCGCGAACCGAGAAGGACCAATTCCTTCATCGACGTGTCAGGGTAGGAGGTCTGTCCACCCCCGATGCATACCTGGGGGCTGCTGGCCCAGCGCGGGGGCGAGGGAGAGCCCTGTGTATAGGGCCCTTCCGGAGCTACAGGGCCCTCCTGGAGCCGGCGGGAGCCCGACGGCGGCCCCCACAAAATCCCTCTGGGGCCCTGTTCTTCACCCCCCTGTGCGGGTCGCCCCCCGTTACAGTCGGGGCGTTGACCCAAGGAACCCCAAACAAGGAACGAGGACCCTTCTTTTTCTCCATAAGTTGAACTTCGATGTCCTATCGAAGACACAAGGAAAACCTGAGGCAAGCTGTGAAACACTTAAGGAACGCGGAGCCCCTCCCCAACGAAAAGGGGTCCTTGTTCAGGGCCCCGACTGTACCCCCCGCCCGATCCCCCCAATTTGGACGCCCGAAATGGGTACGGAAAAAACGGGTACAATGCCCAACAACAAATGTTGTCCCAAACCATCAGCGGCCGCTGTGGGCCAGGCGGCTTTCTGTCTCGAGTGGACAGAGGCCGCGGCGGCGCGGACAACGAGCCCTGTTCAAAAAAGACAGGAACTGCTGCTGGGCATTGTACCCATTGTTTCCGTGCCCATCTCGGGCGTCCAGACCAAAGGTCCCCTCTCTTCCGTCGCCTCCACCTTCCGCACCCTCCGCGCGGCATGTGCCGCGCCGCGGCGAGGCCGCAGCGGCCGCAGCGGCGCCTGCCGCCGAGGCCGCAGCGGCGGCCTCTGCGGCCGCGCAGCGGCGGCGCGGGGCTTGGACGGTGGAGGCGGGGGCAGCTCTGGTCTCAGATCCATGCTTGAGTGCCCTGGGGCCCACAAGCTGGCCTCTGGAGGCCGCAGAGGCAGGAAACACTCCCTGCTGGAACGCGCCAGTGCGGTGGACGTCTGGGAGCTGCCCGCGCCGCGGCGATGCCGTCGCACCCCTGACGTCGTGACTTTTTGGTGACGCGGGCCCCCCGGGACCTCCGCCTCTTCCCAAAGACCAGCCCTTCATCCCGAGTCGTGTTTGCACGGTCCTGGGGTCTGGAGGCGGCCCCTGGAAGCCGGATGCGCCCCCAAAACCTGACGTCGTTCTTGTTGTGCCTTGCTCGGAGGAGGGAGGAGGAGGATGAGGAGGAGGAGGAGGAGGAGGAGGAGGAGGAGGAGGAGGGGGAGGAGGAGGAGGAGGAGGAGGATGGAGAGGAAGAGAAGGAGGAAGAGGAAGCCTCGTAGGATGGGGGCGTCCAGAGCCCACTTCCAATTTCTCGGTGTGCCTGACGCGCGGATGCGGCGGCTATACGCATCTGTACGAATCTGGCGCGAAACGTGGCGAACGTTGGCTGCATGCGCGCGGACCTGAGGGCTCTAAGGACCCTGCAGGCGTCGGGTTCCGCGCTCCCGATTGTGGGATCCGCGGCGGAAATCATCCGCTGTCCCGCTTGCGAGGCTCAGGCTTGCTGCTCTCTGCTTCGGTTGCAGGTTACAGTTCCTATTGTGATAGTTTCGCTGTCTGCTTCCCACTGTCAATGGTTACTGTTCGCGCGAAGGGTGGAGCCTCAAACCGCCCAGTTACCACGCCCGAGGGACGTCCTCAAAATGCCTGGGGGGGCCTGGGGCACGTAAAAATAAATGAGACTCGCGCCCCCGAAGCCGTAATCCTTTCGTGAATTAAGCCATGTTCGCGTCCCCGAAACCACAAACCCTCGTAAAGTAAGTATGCAGACCTTGGGTCCCCGAGGCAACACGCCATTGCAAATTACGGAATGCGCGCGTCCCAGGAGCCATACACCTTTGCAAATTACACTTTATTCGCGTTGCCGCGGCCAAGAGTGCTCCAATGCACCCGAAGATGGTTCCAAGACGGCCCAAGAGGGCCCAAAAAGGCCCCAAGAAGCCTCCCGAGAGAGCTCCAAGAGGCCCAAATCACGGAATTAATATGTTTTTGCACAAAATTTGGCCTTCTTGCATTTTCGGCTTTTCGACCCTCCGGCTCAAGAAACTCCCCAAACCGCCGCAAGACAATCGACGACACCTCTAAGAGGGCCCTGAGACGGCCAATGAGGCTCCCAAACAAATGGCCCCAAAAACGCCCAAGACGGCCCAAGAGCCTCCGCCAGATGAGCCGCGTGCTCGCCCCATCTTCGAGTGGCGTGGTCCGCGCGCGCGCAGTTGCAGGCGTCTGCGAACAGTGCGTCGCGGTCGACCTTCGAAGAATGGAGATGGACGGCTGGCCTGTCGGAAAATTCGAAGCCGCCGATTTGCTGCGCGCTCAGGTGCAACCCGGCATCGGGAATGGCCGGCATGCGCCCGTCCTTCTACGCCGTCCAGGTCGTCCACGTGGAGGCCGAAGTTATGGGCGCTGTAAACTGTGAGGCCAGACCCTTCGGAGTTCTTTCCGTCGTCGCGCTGCGTCGTTATCTGCGCGCGCACCAGACTTCTAGGGGCCACTTTCATTCGTTTGGCGCTCTTGATATGATGTCCAGCTTCGGCCGATGATTGCCGCTCCCCCTGCCGCGCGCGACGGTAACGAGCAGGGTAAGTCATGATCCCGCAGAACATGCGCGCGGTGCAAAGCTTGCAATGACAATGTTTGCACCAGCATATCTGAAGGAAATTAATAGTCGCGTCGCGCTGCTCAAGGCCGTGGTGAAGGAGAGCGTAGCAGATCCACGATGCGTAATCCATGTTCTGCACGTGGACACCTGTCGGCTTCTTCTCGAGCTTCTCAAAGATGTGGGTCATCTTCCGCAGGGCGAAGGCCATGCTACAGACGCCACGCGATGTCGGTGTCGCCCGGGGGACCTGCCAAGGCTGAAGGGGCCCAAGGACACACAAATAAATACACACAAATAAAAAGAATCCCAATATGTTCCCATATTTTCTGGGTTTTTGTCTTCCCGCCCAATTCCCATAGTTTCCGATATTTTCTTGGGGATCGACGATTAATTGTGTCTGTGTGTTTTTTTCCCTCCTGAAAGGCCCTCGAAGAAGCTGCAGACGGCGGCCTTCTGCACGAGGCGCGTTCTGGCTGCCAGCTTTCCAGCGGCCACATGGTTCCAATATAACCATATCGTCAGCCTCCTCCTCCTCCTCCTCCTCCTCCTCCTCCTCTTCCACTGAGGTCTGTCGTCAGCCTGTCTGCCCATATCTGCCCTCGCAGCGGGCAGACTGATCCATGCAGCTTGGCATCTGTAGCGGTGAAGCCGCCAACAGCAATCGTACGGGAAACTGGTTTCGAGAGATCCGTGGAGCTTCTTGCTGGACATTCCATGTCTTGCCAAGGCGCGAGGGTGTAGACGATATCCTCTTTGGCGATGGGCGCGGACGTGTTGATGCAGAGGGGGCTGGAGTCCGGCTCGCGATCGTATCTGGGAAAAGCTTCTGCATCCACCATTCCCACCATTCTCAGAGGCAGCCAACTCTTCCTGAATTTTTGGAGGGTGCGCGAGAGGTCGTCGGTCTGCTTCCGCTGGTCGGCGAATGGCAGCGCATGTCGCCGAGCATTCCTCCGATCAGTGGCAATTGTTTGCTGCTTTTGGAGGCGTGCTCCGCGATGCTTGTGGTGCCACCGTCCGCAACCGCCATGACCCAGATTGCTTTGTGCTTTTCGAACGGGGCGCCGATTTGAGCCGTGATCGTTTCCTGGAGCCTGGAGCTCGCCTCGGACGCGCGCGAGGAAGCTCGCGTCGCCGTGAAGCTCCGAAGCGGCAGCGTGGTCCGTACCCGGTGAGGGTGCGCCGCGCGCCGCGGTGCCAGGCCAGCTTCCCCTAGCTGCGGTAGGGCTATATGGTCAGGACGAGGAGGAGGAGGAGGAGGAGGAGGAGGCGGAGGAGGAGGAGGAGGAGGAAGAGGAGGTGGAGGAGGAGGAGGGCGTCTGCTGCTCGCCTGGGGTTTGTGGCTCCTTGAAGGGGGCCATGTCCGCGCGGCGATCGACTGGCCCTGCCTGCTCGACGTACTTCAGCAGCTCAAGCAAATTTCCAGTCTGCGCGGAGACTTTGGTCGGCCTTCCTTTGCACCTGTCCCCACGAGGAGTCCCAGCCTGACTGCTGCTGGGAGGTGCGATGACATCAGGCGTATGCCATCTGAGTGTCAAGGAGCATGCTGCGAGCTGTGGGCGCGATATGGAATGGCGGGATATGGAGGGACGGCACACCAGCAGGCGAACGTCAGATATGAAAACAGTCCCCGATGGGGGTGTACATGGAAGGATGCTGGCCGCGGAGTAGCGGTATCCACTTCGTCCCCAGGCGAGCAGAACCTCTCGAGTCAGAACGGCTGCGGCGGAGGAGGAGGAGGGAGAGGAGGAGGAGGAAGAGGATGATGTTTTGCAGGCGGATCGAAGAGGAGGAGGAGGATCGAGGAGGAGAAGGAGAAGGAAGAGGATCGAGCAGGAAGAGGAGAGGGAGGAGGCTCGAGGAGGGTCGAGGAGGAGGAGGATCGAGGAGGAGGAGGAGGAAGATCGAGGAGGCAAGCAAATTATTGCAAACTGCCCCCGCGCTGCCGACGCCGCCCGCCGCCGGTCGCAGCCCCCCACCCTCGCCATCGCTCGGACGTCCACTCCCTGTGTTTTTGTCGGTTTCGTGCGTGGTTTTTTTCGCCAAATGATCAAGGATGCTCCTCGATGGTCCTCGCCGAGGAAAAAACGCACACGCCCGAGCGATGCCAAGCAAGCAGGCGGGCCGAGCGGGGCGCCTGGGCGCCCGCGGCGAAGCGCGGGTCCCGGGCCATCTCGCGGAGGGGCCGCAGGTGCATCAGGTGGCCCACGATGCGGGCGTCCTCCTCTGGGCGTGCTTTTCCGTGTGCTGCTCGCGGAGGAGGGAGGAGGAGGAGGAGGAGGAGGAGGAGGAGGAGGAGGAGGAGGAGGAGGAGGAGGAGGAGGAGGAGGAGGAGGAGGAGGAGGAGGAGGAGGAGAGGAGGAGGAGGAGGAGGAGGAGGAGAGGAGGAGGAGGAGGAGGAGGAGGAGGAGGAGGCGGCAAAATCAGGGAGAACCCCGAATCGGGAAAACGGATCGAACCCGAACGGGCTTGCTTCCGTGTGCTGCTCGAGGCGGCAAGATCATAAGGGGGAAGACAAACCGACCTCGCTTTGGACCTCCCTCGCTCCCACGAGACACCAAGCGATGCCACACTGCGGCCTGTGCTGGTCCGGCCGCTTGACGAGGAGGCGTATGGTATGGCTTGGTTTTGCCAAAGCGGGGTAAGTAATTCACGCTCTGAGATCAGGGAGAGCCGAACCGGGAAAACGGATCGAACCGGAATGCAAACTGGACGGGGCCGCATCGGCACCCAGTCCGAATCGAATCCGATCGACCGTGTCAGAGCGCACAACAGCACCATGCATGCGTCGAGCCGAACTGGATCGAACGAACATGGGAATCGCATCGGATCGGGCTGGCCAAAATCGGTATCGAATCGGATCGATCGGATCGAAATGAACGCTGGGCGAGCATACCTCGACGGCGTCCCGACAACGAGCGAGTCAACATGCGCACGCAGTAGCTCCACTGGCAGAGCTCAGGCTTTCCCCTCCAGCCGCTGCCACGCCTGTCGAAGAGTGCGCTCCTGTGCAGTCGTGCGCAGAACGCGTGCCCGTGTGCTCGTTGCTTCCGCGTGAGGCTTGCCCGTGACCTCTACCCTGCGAGCCTTTCGCGCCGGAGGTGCCGCCGCGGTACCGCCGCGACGGCCGCGGCGCGTGCACCGCAGCACGGAGGGTGAAGAAGCCAATTCTGGAGGTCGGAAAGGGGTGTGGCATAAATGGGTGTGGTGCCAATCGTGGAAATGGCGGCGCTACCTGCGATAGACAACATCGCCAGAGCCCCCTTTACCTGAAATTTGCACCACACCCCTTTTGTACTATAACCCTCTCCTACCTCCAGACATTGGCGAGCCTTTCGCGCTGGAGGTGCCGCCGCGGCGCGGCCGCGGCGACGGCCGCCGCGGCGGCGGCGGCCGCCAAACGGCACCGCCGCGCCGAAGGCGAAGAATTCTGGTTGTTGAATCCAAACACCAATTTCTGTTGAATCCCAAAGATCCCCGAAACTGCAAGAGTGGTTTCTGAATCCAAAAACCAATGGCTGTAGTGTTTTGTGTTTTTTTTTGTGTTTTTGTTTTCTAGAAAAAACAGAAACTGCAATAATGGTGTTTTGAATCCAAGCGGCTTTTGAATTGAAAATTCAGCAACTGCAAGAATGGTTTCTGGAATCCAAGAACCACTGGCTGCGGAACTTGAGAGAAGAACTATAAAACTTGAACAAAAAAGCCAACGGCTGTGGAATTCCAAGACCACTGGCGAGCGACAGGGCACCGGCGGCCGGTGGCACGGCACGCGAGGACGTGTGTTTTTCCCACGCACCCGGGACAGTTCGCAGTGCCGCTGCCCGGCTTGCCGACCGCGCGTGCGGCCCGACTCTGCCGCGCTGCGGCGTCAAAGAGAATTGCTTGCCCTGCGCCGAGTGGAGGAGTGCCGAGCGGCCGGCCCGGAGGGAGGCGAGCACCAGGCCAGGCCCTCGCCTCCTCACACACACACACACCTGCTCGTGCAACCAGGTCACGCTAGAAGGAGAGAAAGAAGAAGAAGAAGAAGAAGAAGAAGAAGAAGAATAAGAATAATAATAATAATAAGAAGAAGAAGAAACATAAGAATAAGAACAATAAACACAATAATACTACTAATAATAATAATCATAATAATAAGAAGAAGCAACGGCGTGCACGCGTATTTCCGGAGGTCCGCGCAGATCTGTTGGATCGGGGCTGGGCCCCCCGCTCCCTGGCGCGCGAAGCGCGCTGAGGGCGGCGCCGGAGGCGCCGCCAGGTCCCAGCGCCGAAATCCGCGCGGGCGTCGACAGCTGACAATGGTGCGGATGCGTGGATACGTTGGCATCGACATGCGTTAGTGAAGGGGCCCTGAGACACACAAATAAATACACACAAATAAAATGATTCCCCATATTTTCCCCTATCTTTGGGGTTGTTGTCTTCCCCCCCACTTCCCATAGTTTCCCATACTTTCTGGGGAATCGAGGATTCATTGTGGCTGTGAGTTTTTGTTCCCTCCTGAGAGTTAGGGTGTGCGCCTGCATGCCTGGGCGCAGGCCAGCTCACCCGGGGGCCCCGCGCACTGTGGCGGCAGCCGCCCCGCACACCGGGGTGGGAGGAGGGCAGCGCGAGCGGGCGACGGATCGGGATCGGATCGGATCGGCCTTCCACGAGAACCACTGGCCGTCGCTCGGACGTCCACTCCCCTGTGCGGTTTTCGGTTTCGTGCGTGTTTTTTTCGCCAAGTGATCAAGGATGCTCCTCGACGGTCCTCGCCGAGGAAAAAGCGCACACGTCCGAGCGATGCCAAGACAAAGTGCACGACCCTGACCGCCAGGGTCGGGGTGCAGGGCCATTTCTTGTTTTTGTTTGTGTTCCGTTCCAGCGCGCCGCAACCGCTCGAGCTTTTGACTTGACGCAGCTGAGCTTGCACGCCGGGAGAGGAGAGAATGGCATCCAGGCATCTGCTCAGGGGGTGAAGGCCTTAGCTGGCGGCAGCCTTTCACAGAGCCGCTGCAACGCCCCCAGGCCGTGGGGGGGAACGCTGGGGGGGTGCAGAGCCACACATAGCCCCCTAGTCCAAGCGGAACAGGAGGGGCAGAGGGGAGGATGTCAGACCCGAGCCGTCGGGAACTTTTGGATAGCGTGTCGCCGCGGCGGCCCCGGCGACATGCTGGGCCTTGCGGGTGGATATCGTGTCGCGTGGCGGGGGGCTCGGACAACAAACTCAGGACGTTGGCGCCTGGGGGCGGGAAAGTGGATCATCCCTGTAGGTCTTCAGAACCACCCCCCCAATAGTGGAAACTAATTACTGTTCGATGCCCGTCTTGACGGACTAAGGCCCCACCAATCATGGCAAATAATAATTTATCTGCGAAGCCCGCCGCGCAATAACAACGAAGAGACAACGACTACGACGGCTACGGCTACGACTACGAATAGCTGGCCACCACACATCATCTTAAGACTGCGACTGCAATTACGAGTACGAGTGAGTACGACCACGACTACAACTACGACTACTACTACTACTGCTACTGCTACTGCTACTGCTACTGCTACTACTGCTACTGCTACTACTACTACTACTACTACTACTACTACTACTACTACTACTACTACTACTACTACTACTACTTTACTACTACTACTACTACTACTACTACTACTACTACTACTACTACTACTACTACTACTACTACTACTACTACTACTACTACTACTACTACTACTACTACGACTACGACTACGACTACGACTACGACTACGACTACGGCTGCGATTACAAGTACGACTACTGCAGTAGGAGGTGGAGGAGGGGGGATGAGGAAGAAGAGGACGAGGAGGGGCAACTGTATTCCACGCCGAGAGAAAAAAAAAAGGAGGACGGGGAACCCAAACTAAGGACCTACTGAGGTCAGCGTGTCGCATCGAAGCGTGGTGGGCTAGAAAAGGCGGAACGACACGCTGTCCAATCAATCCCAACCGTAGGGGAGGCGCTACCATCAACCCGTATCACAAGGATGCGCGGTCGGGATGCAGGGGCCCTGGACGCCCATTCGAAGCTTTTCGCGCGGGGCGCGGCCAACGAACGTGGCCAAGGATAGGCCGAGGAGGCAAGGGTACCCTCGGGAAGGTTGCCCATCCTTGCTATGCGGGCTGAGTGTACCGATCCATCAGAAGCTCCCTAAGGTTAGGTCGGGCGTGTCCTCCCACAAGCAGATTTTGGACGAAACATAAAGCATGGTCAAACAGTGCTCAAACATAATCAGCACATCGTCCCCATATTGTTTTTGTTGACTATGTTTGAGCATTCCCCCCTGTAGAGAGCAGGCCCAACTTCAACCTAAAGTGCCGCCTTCTCCTCCCGGCAGTCGCCCGTGCGCGGGCGCGAGAAGGAGCCACGAGAAGCTCCTCGGAGGCCCTGGTCCTCCTCCGGGGAGCGCAGGACACCGAAGCAGGAGTACCTACCAGATCACCCCAGCCCAACCCGAAGATCCGAATTTCGGGTTGGAGGGGGAGGGGATACGGGTTCCATATGTGCTGAACTGCCCCGATACGCAACACGAAACACGTACCGTATCGATACGGCACTCAACACGTAGGCTGAAAACGTAGGTTCGACGCGATACATTCGCCAAAACGTGGTCTAATACGTGGAGCCAACACGCAACGTATTGACACGGACGTCTTGAACACGGGACGTGTTGCGTTTCAAAACGCGCGTATCGAGGCATTTAAGCATATGTGTTTTCTCAATGTTCCCCGACCCCCTCCCACACTGGAAATGGAGGGCACATTGAGGCCTTCGTGTTGGGCTGGGGTGGTTTGGCGGGTGGTGACAAGAGGGAGCAAGGTCGCGAGCGGGGATGGCAGCACGAGGTTCAGACGAGCAACAACGAGGCAGAAACAGCGCCGACCGAGACTCAGCCGAGACCGACAGAGGGACCAGAAGAAACATGGGGGGAGGCGAGGATGTTGAGGATGATGACGATGCTGATGCTGATGCTGATGCTGATGCTGATGCTGATGATGATGATGATGATGATGATGGTGGTGGTGGTGGTGATGATGACGATGATGATGATGCGGATGATGCTGATGATGCTGACGATGATAACGCTGATGGTGATGATGTTGCTGCTGATGATGATGCTAGTGATGTTGATCATGTTGCTGGTGCTGATGATGCTGATGATGGGGAAAATGGTGATTATGTTGATGATGAGACTAATGATGATGATGCTGCTGCTGATGATGATATGATGCCGTTGATGATGAGTATGAGGATTGCGATGATGATGCTGATGCTGATGCTGGTGATGGTGGTGCTGCTGATGTTGATGAGGACAATGATGGTGATGCTGATGCTACCGAACTGAATGCATCGAGTCGGAGTGGTCCCCATCTCCTGCTTCTCCTCTTCCATTTCCCTCTCCTCCTCCACCACCTCCTCCTCCTCCTTTCCCTCGTCTCTCCTGCAACTCCTCCTCCTCCTTCTCCTTCTCCTGCTCCTCCTCCTCCTCCTCCTCCTCCTCCTCCTCCTCCTCCTCCTCATAGCCGCCGCGGGGCCCGAGGGGGCCCGTGGCGGGGCGCGGTACGCCGCTTCGCAGCCCCGCTGAGCCGCAATGGCAGCCATGGAGCTTCGGTGTTGAACGTGATCTTGAAGCTGATAGGGGAAATTCAGCATCCAGAAGAAGGCGAACACGATTGGGAAGCATCGGCATCTCAGTAACATCGTCAGAGTGAAGACGGGCATCCAGAAGAAAGCGTCCAAGGCTGAAAGACATAAGCATTTCGGCGAGGTCGCAATAGTGAAGGCAGCCAGTAGCATCCAGAAGAAGGCGAACAAAGCTGGGACGCATCGGCATCTCAATAAAGTCGTCATTGTGAAGGCGAGCGTTCAGAAGAAGGTGAACAAAGCTGGGAAGCATCGGCAGCTCGGCAACTTGGTCATCCCGCGTGTTGTGATGGTCCAACATAACCTGAAGAAAACGCTCGTTCTCTGACTCGCTTCTCGCAACCGTACTGGGTCGCGGTTCCGTGGGGTGTCTGGTTTGGCCTTGGCCTCTCGTCGCCTCTGCTGGTTCGCCTCGTTGTTGGGGGCCGTTGGGCCTGTGTTCCGCCTGAGGTGGGTCGCCGCCGCTGTGCGCAGCTCGAAACACCATGCGCGGGCATGGGTCAACGCGTCGGCCAGCGCGCCAGGGGTCTCTAGGCGAGACTCGTATACCCAGAGCCCTCAGAGCCCTCCTCCTCCTCCTCCTCCTCCTCCTCCTCCTCTTCCTCCTCTTCCCTCTCCCTCCTCTCTCCTCCCTCCTCCCTCCTCCCTCCTCCTCCTGGTCTTCCTCCTTCTGCTCCGCCTGCTCCTCCCCCTCCTCCTCGTCCCCCTCCTCCTCCTCCTGCGGTCCTTGTCCGTGAGCGCGCGCCGGCTGACCGTCCCCGTGCCGACCTCGGGCGGCCGCGGAAGCCCGGCCCGACCGGCACTGGAATGTCCACACGCTTCTCCTGCGCTTTCCTCCTCCTCCTCCTCCTCCTCCTCGTCTTCCTCCTCCTCCTCGTCTTCCTCCTCCTCCTCCTCCTCCTCCTCCTTCTCCTCCTCCTCCTCTTCCCTCGCCTCCTCCTCCTCCTCCTCTCCTCCTCCTCCTCCTCCTCCCCCCCTCCTGCTCCTCCTCCTCCTCCTCCTCCTCCTCCTCCTCCTCCTCCTCGTCCTCCTCTTCGTCGTCGTCCTCCTCCTCGCCCTCCTACAGTCAGGGCCGTGATCAAGGAAGGGTTGCCCTCGTGAGCCTGGGCTGGCGTCCTGTCAGAGTCCTGGGCAAACGCCATGCCAATCTGCCATGGCAAGTCCAGGCCTGTGCTACACGTGCGTGTGCAGATGGGGCTACAAAGCAGGCCACCTTCTGGGAATGCACTGGCGCAGCTCTGCGCTGAACTGATACGAATTATCCTCTGAATCTGACCTGCGCATGTGCTGCTCACCCGCCTTCTTTTCCTGCTCCTCCTTTCTTCTTCTCGTGATCCGTCCTCCTCCTCCTCCTCCTTCATCGTCCTCCTCCTGCTCACAGACCTCCTCCCACCCCTTCTTCCTCAACCTCTTGTCCCATCCTCCTGCTCCGTCGCTTCTTTTCTAAGGTCGGCGATGGGGGGCGCTCTGCAAGCACCCTCAAACTCCTCCGACCCCACTGCCCACTCTTCTGCCTCCGCTTCCTCCTCCAACTGCGTACCAAGACCTCCTTCCTGCTCCGCCTCCTCACCCTTCGTCCTCGTCCTCGTCCTCATCGTCGTCGTCGTCCTCCTCCTCCTCCTTTTCCTCCTTTTCCTCCTCCTCCTCCTCCTCCTCCTCCTCCTCATCCTCCTCCTCCTACCCCTCCCCCTCTATTCCTCCATCCCTTATCTCATAGATGACTACCTACCAGACCACCCCAACCCAACCCGAAAACCCGAATTTGACCAGATTTTCGGGTTGGGGAGGGGGGGTACGGGTTCCATGTGTTTTTTCAATGTTCCCCGACCCCCCCCCCACTGGAAATGGAGGGCAAATTAGGGCCTTCGGGTTGGGTTGGAGTGGTTTGGTGGGTGGTGAATAGAGGGCTCCTCTTCGTCTGGCCAGAAGACGTGTCGGTCGGCCGGTTTTGTTTGCAAGGCGAGGCCCCCCGTGGGTGCTGCACCCTTCGGCATCATGGTTTCACCTCTTCGCCGTCCTGACAGCTAAAACCATGGACTGCCAACTCCTCTTGGCATCGGCCCCCTCGCTTGAATAGCAAGGCGATGGGCGCCTGCCTGTCAAGGCGGCGCTTCCCGCAATGAAGGGACATTCTTGCAGAGGCCTTCGAAGAAGAATCCTCCTCCTCCTTCCTTTCTCTCCCTTCCCTTTCCCCTTCCTCCCGTTCCCCTCCCTTACGGGGATAGCAGGCGACCGCAACCACATCGAGAACAAGCTCTAGACTTTTGTGCAGGCCGAGCAGCGCCAGAACACCGAATCCGGCTTGGTACTGGTTGTGGTCGACAACCCGTCCACTCACTCTCCACGAGCGGGCCCCCAAAACAACCAACCACTCGAGGGACCTCCAGACTCAGGTGGTGGCTATGGCTCTCTTAGGGGCAAACAAACCTACATCGCTTTTGACCACCCTCGCTTCCAAGAGATACCAAGCGATGCGAAACCACGGCCTGCACTGGTCAGGCCGCTTGACGAGGAGGCGTATGGTATGACTTGGTTTTGCCTGGAAGCGAAAGCGGGGTAGGGAATTCACGCTCTGATCGTTGATGTGCCCACCCTGGCGGCTGGGCCCCGGCGCCAGCTGCTCCAGCCACGCCCCGAAGTGCCGCCAGCACGTCCACGGCAGGTGCGGCGGAGTGCCGTCGGTGTGGCCGCCCGCCCCGCTCGGGGGGGGGGGGGGGCTCGGGCGCGCGTTGCCAAGGACCAGGGCTCGCCTGTACGGGTGCAGGCTCCGCCTTTCCCCCCCGCCTGTCAACCCGATCCTCCTCCAACCTCCCCCCTCCTGCCTCACTCCTTCCCTCTGCCCCTCCCTTCCCGGATACTCTGCTCCTCCCGCTTCCTTCTCCTCCTCCTCCTCCTCATCATCATCCTCATCATCCTCATCCTCATCCTCATCCTCATCCTCATCCTCATCCTCATCCTCATCCTCATCCTCATCCTCATCCTCATCCTCATCCTCATCCTCATCCATCATCATCATCATCATCATCATCATCATCATCATCATCATCATCATCATCACCACCACCACCACCAACCATCATCTCATCATCATCATCATCATCATCATCATCTTCATCATCATCATCACCACCACCACACCACCTTCAGCAGCAGCAGCAGCATCATCATCATCATCATCATCATCATCTCATCATCATCATCATCATCATCATCATCATCATCATCATCATCATCATCATCATCATCATCATCATCATCATCTCATCATCATCATCATCCCCCCCTCCTCCTCCTCCTCCAATTCCTCCCCCTTCGTTCTCCTCCTGCTCCTGCCCTTGCTCCTCCTCCTCCCTGCCCCCCCCCCCCCGCCACCCCTCCTCTCCTTCGCCTGCCGCCTCCTCTACTTCGGGTTTCGGCGGCTACGGCGACCCCCGCCTGCAGGCCGGCCACCGCCGGCCTTCGCCCTCCTCCTGCAAGCGGCTCTCTGTCTTCGCCCTCTGGGGCTCTCCTCGCCTTCTCTTTGCCTTCCTCCTCCTCCCCCTCCTCCTCCTCCTCCTCCTCCTCCTCCTCCTCCTCCTCCTCCTCCTCCTCCTCCTATGCGTCGGCGCTTTCCGGCCTGGGGCTGGCCGCCGCCTCCTCTTCCCTCCTAAGCCTCTTCTGGCTCCTCCGCGCCCTGTGCCCTGTCTGCCCTCCTCATTGTCCTCCTCCTCTTCCTCTTCCTTTCCTTCTCTTCCGCCTCCTCCTCCTCCTCATCATCATCATCATCACCATCAGCAGCATCATGATGCTTCTTTTTTACCATCAATAGATTTCGCATCATCATCATCATCATCATCATCATCATCATCATCATCATCATCATCATCATCATCATCACAACCACCACCACCACCACCATCATCATCATCATCATCATCATCATCATCATCATCATCATCATCATCATCATCATCATCATCATCATCATCATCATCGCCATCATCGTCATCATCATCGTCGTCATCATCATCAGCCGCATCATCACCATCACCATAAACATCCCCCTCCTCCTCCTCGACACTCCCCGCCCAGGGACGGGCCTTAAGCCCCTTCTTCTCCTCCTCTGCTGGTTCTGGTTCTTTACCCTGTATCGCCCTCCCTACCTGCCGCCAGCCAGAGCCATGGAGTCCGTCCGCACGAAGGCGTTGGCTACGCGCCGCGCCACAGCAGATCGCAGCGCGACGCTGCTTTCCTGCCAGTGGGCAGCAGCCAGAACAAATGTTTCGGCGTCGCCGCCCGCCGTGACTGCAAGCATGCGGATGGATGGCGGCGAGGGCGCTCTCACCTGCCCGGCCGCCGGTCTCAAGCACGCGCGGCGTCACGTTGAGACCAGCGTGCCGGCGGCGTTTCTCGCGCTTCTCGCTTCTCGCGGCAGTACGCGCCCTGGCAGGGTCAAGGTGGGCACCCACAATGGCGATGTCAGTTGCCACTCGTCAACCATGCATCGTGATTGAAGACCACGTTGAGCACGTCGCCCGGCAAGTCGCTGGCACCGGCGTCCTCCAGCATGCCCGCCCACGGGCTCTCCAGACGCTGTTCCGTGAGCGCCCCGGGGTCGACGTACCGCGGCGAAGCGCAGAGAGAATGTCCCGCACCTCGTTGTGGCCTCCAGCAGCGCCGCCGCCCACCTTACAGCCTTCCGCGCGTGCACGAGGCCAACGGTCCCTCCCAGCAGCGCCCCGCATGCATCCCGATGCCCAGTGTGCTGACAGTGCGTCTCCGCTGTCACAGGAGAAACGATCTGGTCTGTAATGCAAAGAAGGCGCTTGCGCAGAGCCATGCGCCACGCTCCGTCGGCTATCGCGCACACGCCCTTCTGGGGCACGCAGAGAAACCTGCCCGCTCCTGGGCCTCCGCCTTGGCGCAGCCGGCCGCTGTGCACCTCTTCTGGGAGCTGGTTGAGAAGGTCCTCGCGCGCCACGAACATCCGGCAGCTCCAACTGCAGGTGCTTCGGCGACTCCTGCTTCTCCTGCTGCTTCTCCTCCTCCTTTACAGAGACTGCAGGACTGGGGATCTGAATGGGACTGGGGCCTCTGCGCAAGGCAGTCGTAACGAAATCCTCTTGTAAAGCCGCGTCCCCTCCTTCTCCTCCCCCACCACTCCCGGTTTTACGCCCTCCTCTTCCAACCTCATTCCTCCCTCATCCCTCCTCCTGCTCCTCTCCTTCATCATCTTCCTTCTTCTCCTCATCCTCTGGCTCCGCGGGTCGTTGGCGCGGGTGTTCTGCAAATGAAAGCGCGCACATCCCCCCGACACACTGCGCCAGACCCTCCAAGGCGACCGCTGCCTGGCGCCCAACAGCCGCCTCATTCTCCTCCTCCTCCTCCTCCCCCTCCTCCTCCTCCTCCTTGTCTTCCAGCTTCGCCCCCTCCTCCTCAGCCTCCTCCTCCTCCTCCTCCTCCTCCTGATCTTGCTCCTCTCCCTCCGCCCTTCCCTCCTGCTCCCCCTCCTCCTCCTCCTCCTCCTCCTCCTCCTCCTCCTCCTCCTCCTCCTTCTCCTCTCTCTCCTGTATCGGTGGAACGCCCGGCAAGAGCGCGTAACCAACCAGCGGCTGCCTCAAGGGGGAGTACTTGCGCCAGCAGCGTGGTTTTAAGGCGTGCTTGTCCCTACTGGGGCCTCCAGGGGGCCGGAGGCGAGGAGGAGCGAGGCGGCTTGGGGGAGGGTGGGGGAGGTGTTTCTTTGGACGCCCGAAATGGGTACAGAAAGAATTGGTACAATGCCCAACAACAAATGTTGTCCCAAACCAACAGCGGCCGCTGTTGGGCAGGCGGCCTTCTGTCTCGAATGGACACAGGCCGCGGCGGCGTGGACAGCGAGTCCTGTTCAAAATGAGAGGAACTGCTGTTGGGCATCGTACCCATTCTTTCCGTACCCATTTCAGCCGTTCAGAGTTTCGGGGAGAGGGCGGGGGGAGGGGGGGCCGGCAGGGAGGGGGGAGCGCGCAGAGCGGGTGATGAAGGAGGCATGGCGGATGCGACAGGGAGATGGTGCCAGGGCATTGGCAAGGAGGGGGGGGAGGGATCCGGGCGGACGATCAAGGAGGCGGGGTGGATGCGGGAGGGGTGGGATGGTGCAGGGACAGGGGGAGGAGGGGGGGGAGGGAAAAGGGGGAAGGGAGAAGTGGGGAAGGGATGAGGAGGAGATGACTGATGCTGAATGGTGGATTGGCCTGCTTCCGAGAGGGCAAGTCCGGGAAGAAAAAGGCGGAACGAATGGGCCAGTAGCACGAAAGTGGCACGCAGCTGGGACACAGCGATCGTCCTTCCTATCAACACCAGCAACATCACAACCGACCAAACAAATACGATCACCACCGTGAGGCTTCAAGTGCGAAACTGGTGGCACAAACAACGCACGGGCTAACGCAAACGTATCCAGCACGTGAAGGCAATGTTAAAAGTGGGGACCACGCCAGAAGAATATTCACAATCACTCCATCCCCTAAGTCGTGATAGAGCCGAATGGCAGAGGGAACGACATATGCAAATTCTATATTGCGGTTCGAGACAGAAACAATCCAACATACGCCCCAACCGACCGCGACCAGTTCGAGAAGCTGTTTGGCGCACGCATTGCCATGACAAGTGTGAGACATAGTGCGACACGCACAATTGGAACCATGTAAGGGCCAACCTTCATCATACCATGTCCCGTGCCGTGCGGCGCGGAATTATATAACCTGGCCGCGGTGTTAATTATTGTGCCGGCTGGAACACCAGCACACCACGGAGCGGATGTGCTGGACATGTTGGTCCCATGATTACTCATGGGGGAATTGGGAGGAGAGCATGGTGGATGAGGAGGATGAGGGAGGATGTGCAGAATGCAGACTGGAGGGTAGAGGCAGCGCCGTTTTTTAAGAAATCGCACTCCATCCCTCGGGCTAGCAAGAACGTCGACCACAAAGTGAGGCCGTGGAGCTCGACGAGAACTCCAGCAGCCCGCTCTGGAAAAGAACCCGCCCCTACATCCGTGTAGATGCTGCCCAAAAAGTCAGACGTCTGGCCGGCGCGCACGCTGCCGCACATTCGAGAACATGCGGTGTTGCGCCGTTGCCAGACGATGCGGCGCGAGGGCAAAAGCTGTTTATGAGGCAAGAGGTGTCTACGAGGCAAGCCCTGCAATCCGCAGGTACGAACCGACTTATTTAGGGGAACAAAAAATGCCATAAACATAAGAACTCGGAAGTCCGTGCGGATTTCTCGGATCGGCGCTGGGGCCCCCCGCGGCGCCTCCGGAGCCGCTCGTGGCGCGCTCCGCGCGCCAGGGAGGGGGGTCCAGCGCCGATCCGAGGAATCCGCGCGGACCTCCGAGTTTTTATGTTTATGCCACTTGTTGTTCCCCTATCATTGGCCACGTTTCCGCTCTCCGAGGGGGGCGCGACGGTCTGCGACTGCCGCACGGTGCACCACTGCGCGAGGGCCGCGCCCGTCGCCCGCCTCCTCTTGGGCGCCCGAGTTATTTGGGGCAACTCGGGTCCGGGGTAACTCGGGTTCGGAATCCCGAAACACGAACCCGAGTTAGCCCTGACCCGAGTTACCCCTGATAATTCGGGGTCCTGGATGCCCGAGTTATCCGGGGCAGCTCGGGTCCGGGGTGAGTCGGGCTCGGCATCCCGAAAAACGAACCCGAGCTAGCCCTGACCCGAGTTACCCCTGATGCTTCGGGGCTCTGATCCTCGGCCCGCCCCCTTCTGGCGCAAAACCAACAAAACCCTTTGTGCTTAT